GCAATGTGGATTCTCAAGGTTTCTCTGTGCTAAAGCTTTGTCTCAAAGTGTATTGTCAAGGCTTTTCTTGGGAGGCTGACTAATCTTGTCCTTCCTAGACTAACATCAGGGATCTGGAATTGGAGGTCAGCAGTTTGCAAAAAGAAAAGGAGGAATTGGCCCTTGCTCTGCACATGGCAAAGAAGGATATCAACCAGGCCAAGTGAGTGTGACTGTGTTATGTCTGAAGATCCCGTGTCTTGTGTTTCTGTCTATAAAGTCTCTTATTTGATGTCCCTCTGACATGCCAGGATGGTTGTATGAGCTGCAGAGCAGCCTCCTGTGGGCTTTCAGCAGCAGGAAAGGTGATAACACACAATTCAGTTTAACTTTTCTTCAGGTGTCTGAAATTGGAGAGTGGGGGTTGTTTTTAAGGCTGGTTCCTTCCCAGGCTGAGCGAGCGGCGGCGCAAAAGGCTCCAGGAGCTGGAGGGACAAATCAACGAGCTGAAGAAGAAGCTGAGTGAGCAATCCAAGCTCCTGAAGCTGAAGGAATCCACGGAACACACGGTGTCCAAACTGAACCAGGAGATCAGGGTAACCCATCCTAACTGCACTCCTGGCTGGCCAGTGCAGACAGAGCAGCTCCCACACAGGAATCACTCCCTGTCTGCTCTGTCACACTGAGAGCAGCAGTTTGGGCACGATTCCTTTGGCCACAGTTGCTGGGGTAGCACAACAGGCAGGTGACTGCTGAGATCTGGAGGGGTAAAATAAGTCCAAAGGGTCTTCTGGCTCTTCTAATAATTTATTGCCTCAGTCAAATCACTTGGCTTCACTTTAATTTCCCTAAACTGTGCATGTTTATGCCTTAAATGCCTTCCCTTTATGCCTTGAAACATGAATCCCTGGGTTTTAGCACTTGGAGAGTGTCCTGAGAGGGAGCACACTAAGATTTCCCACCTGCCTCTCCCCCCACCTGACAGACACAAGGGAAATGCAGGTTGAAGCTCCCCAGGATGTAAATCCTGGACAGTTCTTCCAGCCTCTTGTGTTTTCCAGGAAATGAAGCACCAAAGGGTCCAGCTGATGCGGCAGATGAAAGAAGACACCGAGAAATTCAGGCAGTGGAAGCAAAAGAAGGACAAGGAAGTGATCCAGCTGAAGGAAAAGGTGAGCAAACAACCCCCCCAGACTGTACCACCCTCCCAAGAGTAAGACAAATCAGTCAAGTGTTTACTGCAAGGCTTGTTTAACTGGAAGCAACTGAAAACCAGCTGGGAATGCTTTGAAGAGAAGGTTGGTTCATATGGCTGCCACCTTTCACCAGTTGTAAATGGACTTGTGGCTGGAGATCCTAAAGATGTTGGCACAGTTGTGACTCAGCTCTGAGGCAGAAGGCAAAAATATTTAATATTTGAAGTATAAAGTTGTAGGGTTTGGCCCCAGAATGGGAGGTATTTAAACTTTCAAAGGAATATTGAACCTGCAGGTTCATGAAATCCAGCTGCTTGTGGCACCCAGTGTAATGGACAGCAGACATCTGGAGTTCTGGTCCCACAGCAAGTTCTTACCCCTCAGTGGTTTGGGATCCTCAGGGTTGAACTTCTGGGCTTCAGTCTCATCCAACCTTTAGGCTCCAGAACCTTTGTCATGGGAAATGTGGAGCCCAGGTGACTTTTCCATCTGTTTTCGTGTTGTTTCCCTGCAGGATCGTAAGAGACAGTACGAGCTCCTCAAGCTGGAGAGGGATTTCCAGAAACAGGCCAATGTCCTTCGGCGCAAAACAGAGGAGGTGAGGAGCCAATGTCTCAGGGAAAGCCCTGAGCAACCCCAAGGGCTGCACAGTGGGGCTGGAGGATGTAATGGGACATGCACAAACCTCTTAAAGGCAGCTGAGAGGATGGAAATAAGAGCTTTTCTCTCTGCAGAGAAATCCATGCTTCTATCTTGTAGCCTTTGAGGGATCCTAGTTAAATCTGCTCCTTAAAGGCTGAATTCCACTCTGGGCATCAGGCTGCTCTGGGAATCCATTACAGATGGCCAGGCTGAAGCGTGAAATGAATTTGGGGGTGGATATATTAGGTTGCAGTTCAAAATCCTTTCAAAGTGGTTGTGTCAAAGAAATGCATCTTGCAACCCTCATTTGGGATGTTTTCTTCTACTTCTTAGGCCTAGAAGCAGGTTCTCCTTAAATCAGGAATCTCAGCTGAGGAAATAAGTTAAGGACTGGAGGCCTTGACTTAGTGATTCTGGTTTATTCCCTTTGTGCTCTCACCGTCCCAGGGCCTTGCCTTGGCACTCCCTCGTGTTTCCAGCCTGTTGCAGGTGAAGTGCCAAAGCTGCTGCTGAGCTCCTGTGGAATGTTTTCCAGGCAGCAGCTGCCAACAAGCGGCTGAAGGAGGCCCTGCAGAGACAGAAGGAGGCTGCAGACAAACGCAAGGAGAGTCAGAGCCGGGGCCTGGAAGGAGTGGCTGCCCGAGTGAAGGTGGGTGACAGTGGGTGTGTCATCCCAGCAGGGGAGAAACTGGGACTGGGGGGCTCGGGGGGGGGCTGCAATGGGATTATTCCATGGCTCTAAAACACCTTCCCAGAGCAACACTCAGTCCTGCAGTTGAAGCTCCACTAAAACCCTTTCCCGGTGGGTTTCCTGTTCCAGAGCTGGCTGGCAAACGAAGTGGAGGTTCTGGTGAGCACGGAGGAGGCTCGGCGGCACCTCGCAGACCTGCTGGAGGACAGGAAGATCTTGGCCCAGGAGCTGCAGCAGCTCAAAGAGAAAAAAGAGTCCGGGGAAAACCCACCTCCAAAGCTCCGGGTGAGGGAAAGGCCCCTTTCCCCGTCCCAGCCCCGGGGGGTTCAGCAACACTGGGGTTATTCTGATCCTCACTCCTGTTCCCTCAGGAGGTAGGGAAGGGGCTCCATCCTTGGCTGCCTTTCTGGGAGAAAGGCTTCATGTGGTGAAGAGGTGCTGAAGTGACTTGTTAATTCATGCAATTCGGGAACATTTCTTCACTGGAGGGGCAGTCGGGCATTGGCACGGGCTGTGCAGGGCAGAGGTGGAACCACCATCCCTGGCAGTGTCCCCAAAAGGTGTGGATGTGGCCCTGGGAGTGTTGGGTGAATGGTCGGACTCGCCCTCCGAGGGCTTCTCCAGGCTCAGTGAGGGCTGTGAGTGGGTCACACCCTTATCGAAGGCTTTGTGCTTTGGGGAAGGGGCCCTGGAATTGCAGCTCTGGAGAGAGCTGCTCCTCTGTGCTGGGCTGTCTAAAGGTGTGATTTCCTCCCCTGTTCCTCCCTTGGCTGCAATTCCTCAGAGAAGGACCTACTGCCTGGCAGAGCTGCAGTCCCCAGAGGTGGATCTCTCCATATCCAAGCAGATAGAAAGCCTGGAAACTGAGATGGAGCTCAGGTAAGGCAGTACCACAAAGCTGATCTGCACAGCCTTGCCTCTGTTTTTTCCCTCATTTCCATCCCAACTCTTCTGTGAAATTGAAAAAAAAAGTAAAATATTTATACACTGAACTGGGAACAATGAGATGAGAGTGTGGGGTTTTCCTGGCTTAGGTTTCTCCACATTGTAGACATTACCTAGTCACTAAGACTGGAGTTTTCTTAGCTGTTTGTGAGCACCTCTGTATGAGGAAAACCTTCTCCCTTCCTTTGGGAATGTGAAGGGAAGGCAGAACTCCCCAGTGTAGCAATGCAGCCTCCAGCTGCCCAATTAAGGCATCAAAATTGTAACTTCAACTATTTCACCTGATATTCTGGGAACAGTAACTTTAGCCCTGGTTTTCTCTTGTGCTGTAACCCCAAATCCATGGGTTCTTCCCCAGGAGTGCCCAGATAGCAGATCTGCAGCAGAAACTCCTGGATGCAGACAATGGGGATCGTGCCAAGCAGCGCTGGGACAGCATTGCCACAATCCTGGAGGCAAAATGTGCTCTGAAGTACCTCCTGGGAGAGGTAAAGGCTGGATTTTCCTGTTTTTTCCCTGAAAGCAAAGACTTTAAGTCTGCTTAGCTAGGAATGAACAGAAGTGACTAAAGGAATTGGAATGGAGCACCCTTTTGTACTGGATGAGGTTTATTTCCCTCACAATTTTGGATTAAAATTTTCTTTACTGGGCGGTGAAATCCAAAAAACAGGGAAGAGGGAAATGGAATATATGAGGGTCTGGAGATAACCAGCTAAAGCTGTGCTTCTGAAAGGTTTGCATGGGAATGGGAAAATAAAAAAGACAAATTTTGGAAGTGAAAGAGAAGTACCTAAAAATACTTCCTGGACAAGCAGAGAAACAAGGGGAGTGCTGGCTGAGGTCGGGGAACCAGGGGAATGGGTGTTGAGATGGGAAAAGACGGGATAGAGGAGTAGGAATTGGGTTGATGTGGCATCAAGGAGAGAGCAAGTGAAGGACAGAATCCCCTGTCACTCCCTGGTGCTTGGAAAGGCAAAGAGTGAAAAGGAAAATACTCCAAGTGCTCAGGAAGGGAGATGAATTTAGAACTGTTAACAAAATCTACTCCCTGTTTAGCACTTCCAAACTGGTGGTCAGGTGTCTGGCTCTGCATTTCCTCTGGTCTCCTTGTGGCTGGGGGCCAGTCCAGTTCGTGGGGTGGCTGGAAATCACAGAAATGCTTCACCTCCAGGCTGCAGCACCTTTCCCACCATGGAATCCCTGCCCCAAATATTACTCTTACCTTCCAGCTGGTCAGCTCTAAAGTCCAGGAGAGCAAGCTCCAGAGCAGCCTGGAGCAGAGCAAAGCCACCTGCTCAGACGTGCAGAAGATGCTGATGGAAGAGAGAAACCACATCACAGAGCTGGAGGCTGAGTTCCAAAATCAGCTTGTGGTGCAGGAACAGCAACACCAGGAAAAGGTAAAACACAAGGCATGGAAGTCTTGAACTCTGGGACGGATTTCCCGGGTCTGCTAAAAGGCAAAGGGGATGTGGTGAAATCAAGCTGGTGCTGTACATAAACTCACATTTAGACTTTTGCAGATGATTAATCAAAAACCAAATCTCCCTATTCATCCTGGGCCCTGTGCAAGTTGCTTTATCCAGTAACTGTTTTCATGCTTTAAGGATATTATACCTGAGCACAAGATCACTTTTCAAGTAGATCAGAGTGGAATAATGCTGGAAGTGGCAGAGTCTTCCTAAAATTTCCAAGGCTTTTGATGCCTGGACTTGGACAGGTGTTCCTTCAGGAATTCCTACCTGTTCATTCTAACTTGCTTTTAGGTTCTGTACCTGCTCAGCCAACTCCAGCAAAAAGAAGCAGAAGAGAAGAAATGGGAAGATTCCCTAAATGAGCAGGAGAAGCAGCTGCAGGAGCGGCTCAGGTTCCAGGTACAGTGTCTGGCTGTGGCTCGGAGGGAGGGTGGGATCCTTTGGGATACCAGGTAGTTGGAACAGGAGCTTTGGAAGGAGGGAGGTGCAGGAGGATTGTGAGTGTTCCCTTGGCAGGGGATAGTTGCTGTGCAGGTCTGAACAACCCTGTAGTTTTTCTCTTTACCTTTAATTAAATAAATTTCCTTTTGTCTTGCAAACAGGAGGAAGAGATGGAGAAAATGAAGGAGGAGAACCAGGAACTCCTCCAGGAAAATGACTCTCTGAAACAGGTAGAGCCTTGAGAGATTAATGGCTGTTGATTTCTGTATTTTGCAAAGCTAACTCTTTTCCCTTTTAACAGAAACTGCTGCTCCTCCAAGTTGTCAGTGGCCAGAAGCTCCGGCACATCCAGCAAAGGCCACCAGAGTCTCCAGACTCTTCTTTTGATTATATCCCAGCCAAAGTAAGATCCTGCACAGTTTTCATGCTTGTATTGTACCTGAGCTCTTCTCCAAAATTAATCTTGGCTATTAGTAATTTGGATTCTTTCTCCTAAGTTGCTTTTTAGCAGGCAGCTCGTTCTGCTTATTGAAGTTGGCCCCTTCAGTCCTTTTCAGAACACTCAGAACTACCTTGCACTAGTTTTTTGATTTAAAAAAAAGGCAACCAAACCCCCTAACGTGTTTTCTCCTTCTCATTCTGTCTGACTCTACATCCTCCTTCACAATCCAGGTGTTTTATCTGTAGCATTTCCAGTCTCTAAACTATGGACCAAGGAATGTGTCATAGCAAGTGTAACCATTGCCTTGCAAAGAGCCAAATCTTAGCGCTGGGAGGAAGAAATGATTTAAAGCTATGTGGGCAAGACTGACACAAATGTTTTTTGTCACGTGGTATGACAAATATAACTCCGACTTCCAAGGATTTGTCACTTATAGGAGTTTAAATTGACTGAATTTTTAATCCTGACAATTTGATGGTTTTTCTCCTCCCTCACCTTCTTGGCTGGCTGAGGAACGGGAGTTTGGGGCTCTGAGTACCTCAATGAAATATTAAATAGTACTGGATAAATATGAGTGAAATCCAAGCCCTGTGTCAGTCCTGCTGGTCCCTGACCCTCCTGCTCCCTGTCTGCAGCCCAGGGCCCGCCGGCAGACGACGGCCAAGCCGCGCGCGCCCAGCCCGGAGATGGACCTGGAGGAGCTGCTCTCTGACTCTGGGGACCTGGAAGATGCTGACTGGATTCCTGCCAAAGCAGCCAGAGGGGCAAAGAAAAGCCTTACGGGGGTAAGATCCAGTCACCTTTGATCCAGGACCTACTAGGGAATCGCTGGCCTGTACCCAAGGATCTGTGTGTGTGTACAGAGAACAGGGAGATTGTAGTGTCTCCACTGATCCTTTGGGATAACCTGAAGTCAGGGCCTGAGGAACTGAAGGTGCTCATCCTGGGGGTCCTGCAGCAAGAGATGGGTGTGGAGTGGAAGGATTTTACTCCTTATCTGGGATGCAGGACTGGCACTGGAACGAGGTGTGTGGCAGCTGGGGGACATCCCTGTCCCGGAGCTGCCACCCCTGGAGCGGTGCCGGTGCCCCGGGCAGAGCAGGGATCCCTCTCTCCCGCAGTGCTCCTGCCGGGGCCGCTGTGGGAACAGGCAGTGTGGCTGCAGGAGGCAGAAGGTGGGATGTTCCAGCGGCTGCAGCTGTGACCAGGCCACCTGCAGGAACCGGGACCACGCCCTGGTGAGTCCTGGGCTGGGCTGGGCTGGGTGAGGGACCACCTGGGCACTGCTGGGCAGGGCAGAGCACTGGCACCCTCCTGCAACACTGCAGGGGTTTATATATATATATAAAAATTAGATGAGACAGAGTATGTGCGTGTCTAAATATGTATATTAAGTAAAGTATTTCTTTTAAATAGTGGCAGTGTATCAAAATGTTTTATTAATATTTATACCTATATGAATACTATATAAGTAAGAATAGTGTCTGTGAGCATGTAATGCTTATAATTAAAAAAATAATACATATTACATGTTAGGTTATGTGTGTTTTTAAATGGTATGGGCTGTACCTGTTACTGGAATAAAAAGAGTGGCTGAGACTGTACAAATGGATGTGTCTCTAGAAAAGAGTAAGCCATGAATGTGTGGGTGTAATACAAGTGTATGTAGACATATAATATGTCTTATATATAATTTAGATATTATCTGTAATTACATATGGTGTTATTTAACAGATATTTGGGGGTGTCACATCACAGATTTACCTACTCCCAACTGTCAACCATAAACCTAAAGACAAATACTTCAGTCTTTCTCTTGCACTCAGTAAATTCAAGTTGTGTCTGGCTTTGGACAACACAAAAGCTTAACCCATATTATTATTATTTATTATTATATTTGTATATTTTATTATTATATATTTATTTATGTATAACTGTATCAATCATTAAATATTTTTCTTTAAGAATGGAAGGGGTAATTTAGGGAGGGGGTTGTAGCACCAGGAATGTTCATGAGCAACTGATGTTCACTAAGGCAGATATTTCTAGTGGGAATTCTGCTCTTGGGTCTGAGATCTGAAGCAGAGACATCCCAGAGTACTTTAATTATTGACTATTTTATGAAGCCTGACTGGCAGGCAGCATCCTGGACTATGGAATGCTCACACCTGGAGGGCAGGGGGCTTAGGGAGCCCTGGCTGGGGGGAAGAAAGGGCTGGATGTGATCCCAGTGCTCACTCTGTGCTGCCCCTCAGGAGGCCACGACGTGCGAGGACCCCCAGAGGGACTCTGAGGGCTCCTTGAAGCTGGAAGACCCCACGATGGTGAAAGCAGGAGAGAGTTTCTTCCAGCCCCTGTGTGTCACTCCAACCACAAAGGTATTCCAGGGCTCTGGGGGAGAGCTGAGGTTCTGAATGGGGCCAGTGAGGGATGCCGAGGGAAATTATCCAAGGGGAAAAGCTGCAGCTGGAAACCCCTGTGCAGCCTCCGGCTGACAAGGCAGCTCGTGTTGGAGTTCTCAGGGTGCTGAATTCTTGTTTTCACTCTAAAATGTTGCCACACAGGCTTGCCCTGCTTTCCTGCTGCACCTTCCAGCCAGGAGAGATGGGAACTGAGGAGCTCGTAGGATAAAATCATCTCTGACCATGTTCAGACTTAATGGTTTTAAGCTTACTGTGTTCTCTGACTTGGCTCATCTCATTTTGCCTCAGCTAAATAAATTCCCTTATCCTGTGGGTTCTCACTGTTCCAACTGTTGTCTCTTCCTGCTCAGTCTTGGTCTTTTGTTAAAAAATTTATCTTTTTCTTGACTTAAGTGAAAAAATGAAGCAAGCAACTCTTGAGGTTGGCCTGGCAGCCCCTGTCTGTGCTGCCTCTGTGCTCTGGGCTGAGCTCGCTGGCTGCTCCAGCAGGAACCAATCCAAGGTTTCTGCCTTGCTCTTCCAACAGGTCCTGCAGGACATCACAGCCCAGGAAGGGCTCCAGAAGATGCCCAGCTCTCCTTCCTCCTTGCTCCTCAGGGACGAGGAGGCCCAGGAGAACCAGATCCCCTTTGTCAAGAGGAAGAAGAGGATGCTGAGCAGCAACATCAGCTTCTTCTCAGGCTGCACCCCCATCAAGGAGGAGTTTCAGTGACCTGCCCCAGAGCTGTCCTGACCCTTTAGGCCACATTCCTGGTGACTCTTGAAGGAGCTGGGCTCTCCTGCTGCAGCAGGAGCCGGGTGCCTTGTGCCTGATGGCTCCTGCCCTCAGCCAGGGAGTCAGACACTGGGGGTTGTAGTTGTGTCTCTGTAAATATTTCTGTGTGGGGCCTGGAGGGAGGGGGACAAACTTTCCTCTGGAATTCCTGTAGGGAGTGGAGGTGATGTACCAGGTTGTTGTTCTTGGCTCCCTCCCTCCTCCTGAGCTGTGAACACTAGGTACACTTTAATCCGGAATCTTGACACAACTCAGCCTTTGCACTGGAGATCAGGTCCTGTCTCTTCCCAGGGAGCCTGAGGAACTGTTCCAGCTGCCCTGGGAGATCCATGGAGTGAGGACACACTGGCTGTAGTCTTAAACCAGCAGCTGCTCAGGGTTTCTGGCCCCTTTGAGCACTGGTCTGTCCTTAGTCAGTCAAGTTAGAAACTTGTCCTCTGTGAGTAATTTAGGAATTTTAACTCTGGGTTTTAGTTTCAATAAAGAAATTAGTTTAAAAACTGGCTCTGAATTTGATTATTATTGTTTGCACCAACCACTCCCCAGTCTGGGCTCTCTGGACTTAAAACTGGTCTGCAAACACTTGCAGCAGTTGCTGTACCAGCTCAGCTCTTCTGTCTTACCTTAAACTAAAAACTAAACACCCAACTGCCCAAACAAAGTCCTGCTGCTTTCCTTTCCACTCCTTGCCCTCAGCCCTAATTTTTTAGTCTCAGCATGAAGTGATAAAGTTAATTTTTTTTTTTACTTTATTTTTACTCCACTTGCAGTGGTGGTGACCCAGCTCAGCTCCCCACTTGGATGGGCAGAGGGGATGTGGAGCTGGGGCTGTAGTTTCCCTGAGCTGAGAACACTCTATGTATCTGTTGGATGAGTGCTCTACCAGCTTATGGAATCCCAGGATGCTTTGGGTTGGAAGGGACCTTAAAGCTCATTCCCACCCCCTACCACGGGCAGGGACACCTCCCACTAGCCCAGGTTGCTTCAAGCCCCGTCCAACCTGGCCTTGGACATTTCCAGGGATCCAGGGGCAGCCACAGCTTCTCTGGGCAACCTGTGCCAGGGCCTCCCACCCTCACTGGGAAGGATTTCTTCCCAATATCCCAAGTTCAGTCCTTTCTCTACTTTCCAAGCACATAAAGTCCCTGAGAACTGCAAGATGTTTATTTTCAAGTGATTTAAACAAGCTTTTGAGTTCTGAGGGCTTATGCCCTAATGAAAGGGTGCCAATCCCATCTCACATCCCTTTCCATCCCAGCCTTCAGGCAAGGGCTTAAACCTGAAGAGCAAAGGCACAGCACAAAGGCAACAAATCCTTGTGCTGTGGAACAAATGCCTGTGGTGGAAGGGAACTTGTCCTGTGTTTTTGCAGGATTAGGGAACAACCCCCAGGAGTGGGTGGGGAGCTGGGAGGAGGTTCCAGACACAAGTGTGGTACATTATGTATTAGAATCATGGAATATCCTGGGCTGGAAGGGACCCACAAGGACCATCAGTCCAACTCCTGGCCCTGCAGACACCCCAACAATCCCACCCTGTCCCTGAGGGCATTGTCCAAACACTCCTGGCAGCCTTGGGGCTGTGCCCACTGCCCTGGGGAGCCTGGGCAGTGCCCAACCACCCTCTGGGGGAAGAACCTTTTCCTGAGATCCAACCTGAGCCTGCCCTGGCACAGCTCCAGCCGTTCCCTGAGTCCTGTCCCTGTCACATGGAGCAGAGCTCAGGGCTGGCCCTCGGGAAGCAGCTGCAGCCCCTGACGTTATTATATTAATTACATATTACTTGTGTATATTTAATATACTAGAGCAGGCAGTAACACAATTGTGTTATATCAAACAGAAGTATGAGTAACAGACTGTGACACACAGCATGGCATACAGAAAACATGCTGTGTTCTGTTATGTACCTTGAATATTTATAGACAGAAAGGCCATTTACAGAGGGCAAATATATGTGTATATACAAAATAGAGCAGAGAGAGAGACACAAACTGTGTGTGTCTAAATATAAGTGTATATTAAGCACTTTTTAAAAATCGTGGATGTGTGAGAGGGTATCAAGTAGTTTTATATAAATTCATATATATATGAATAGTATATAAATAAGAAGTGTCTGTGAGAGTGCAGATGTATGTAATTAAAAATCAATACATCGATGGTAATGTAATACCATATAATATGCATATATATTATATATACCATAAGAATACATATAATATATGCTATATATAGGTTATATATGTTGGCAAGTGGGACATGCTGTATGTGTTATACATTGGAATAAAAAGGGCCTGAGACTGTACAAATAAAAGTGTCTACAGAAAAGATTAAGCCATGGCTGTGTGTGCATAACACAAGTGTATGCAGACATTTATATTAAAAGGGGGCTCATATATAAGCGAGATATTATATATAATTACATGGGGTGTGGCATTGGTATTTAATAGTGCATATTATTTGAACTATTTTAATATTTTATATTAGGAAATGTATTTTATATACTAATAAATAATACAATAAATAACGTTGATAAAGCACATGTAAATATTTTAAAATAAAAATACAATGAATAAATCAAAGCACATATTAGTAAATATAAACATACATACATATTTCAGCATATATAAGTAAATATACAAAATGTATATAGTCTATATAAAAATAAAATTTAAAAGTACACAAAAACATAAATAATTATATAATAACACACATACATATAAAGTGTCTATATGCATGCATAATTAAGTACTGTATATTCTCTATATACATACTTTAAATTTTAATATTTATATTTAAACATCATAAATATTTATTTATATATTATAAATATATCTATATATTTATATAATATATTTATTTGATATGTTAATAAATAATAACAAATATTTTCGATAAATAAAGTACATGTAAATATTTTGAAATAAATAAAAATACAATTAGTAAATCAAAGCACATATTAGTAAATATAAACATACATATATATTTTTGCATATATAGGTAAATATATAAAATCTACAGTCTCTAGAAAAATAAAATTTAAAAGTACATAAAATCATAAATAATTATGCATGCATAATTAACTACTGTATATTCTCTATATAGATACTTTAAATTTTAATATTTATATTTATATATATATATGTTTATATATTTTATATTATAATTTATATTAGGCAATGTATTTGATATGTTAATAAATAATAACAAATATTATACATATATAAATATATAATATTTATATGTTAATAAATAATAACAAATATTGTGGATAAATAAAGCACATGTAAATATTTTGAAATAAATAAAAATACAATGAATAAATCAAAGCACAGATGAGTAAATATAAACATATATGAGCATATATAAGTAAATATATAAAATCCAAAGTCTATATAAAAATAAAATTTAAAAGTACACAAAAACATAAATAATTATATAACACACATATATATAAAGTGTCTATATGCCTGCATAATTAACTACTGTATATTCTCCATATACATCAAATTTTAATATTTATATTTAAATATTTAAATACTTATATTTAAATATTTATATTTAAATATTATATTTGTAGAAATAGATATTACGAATATATATTTAGATAGTTTTATAGTTATTTTTAATATTTATATTAGGCAATGTATTTGATATGTTAATAAATAATAACAAATATTGTTGGTAAATAAAGTACATGTAAATATTTTCAAACAAATAAAAATACAATAAATAAATCAAAGCACATATTTTTTGCATATATTTTGCACATACATATTTTTGCATATATAAGTAAATATATAAAATCTACACATTCAATAAAAATTTAAAAGTACATAAAAACATTAATTATATAATAACACATATATATATAAAGTGCATATGCATGAATAATTAACTACTGTAAATTCTCTATATACATACAATAGATTTTAATATTTATATTTATAAATATTATAAATATTTATTTATATATTATAAATATATAATATTAATATATACTTACATGTTTTAATATTCTATATTTATTTTTAATATTTATATGAGGTAATGTATTTGATACGTTAATAAATAATAACAAATATTGTTGGCAAATAAAGTACATGTAAATATTTTGAAATAAAAAATCAAAAGCACATATTAGTAAATATAAATATATATAAGCATATATAAGAAAATATATAAAATCTATATAGTCTACATAAAAAATAAAAAATAAAATTTAAAAGTACATAAAACCATAATTATATAATAACACACACATATATAAAGTGTCTATATGCTTGCATAATTAACTACTGTATTTTCTCTACATACATCAAATTTTAATATTTATATTTAAATATTATAAATATTTATTTATATAATATGTATAAATACATATTATGAATATATATTTATATAGTTTTATATTTATTTTCAATTTTATATTAGGCAATGTATTTGATAAGTTAATAAATAATACCAAATATTGCTGGTAAATAAAGTACATGTAAACATTTTGAAATAAAAAATACAATTAATAAATCAAAGCACATATTAGTAAATATAAATATATATAAGTATATATAAGAAAATATATAAAATCTATATAGTCTATATAAAAAATAAAAAATAAAATTTAAAAGTATATAAAAACATAAATAATAATATTACACACACATATATATAAAGTGTGCATGCATAATTACCTACTGCATATTCTTTATATACACACCTTATATATACTATATACATCCTATACACTTGGGATACTTGGTTAGATCATCTAACATACATATTAATTAGCAGGAGAGTCTCTGAGCAGAGTCTTTCCAGACATGCCCAGTCTTCTACTGTGGGGTCTTCTTGAGCCTTCATCCCTCTGGTGGTCACCATGGACGTCTTCCTCGATTTGACCTCTTCAGTGAGGTGACCTGAATTCTTCAAGCTTGCAAAATCCTGGCTCTGGGCCTTCTAGATCTTATTCAAATGTCTGGTTTACCTAATTCATTACTGTGTGTATGCTACTCCTTCCTATCCTAAGGCCTTTGGTCCAGGGAGCAGAACAGAACATGATATTAAGCAGTGCTCCTAAAATGTTCTTCTAGCAGAACTGGTAGAGCAACAGGACAAGGTATACCAGCTGAATCTTTGTTAACTCTTTTTTTGTGCCTTTTTGCCATCAGGAGACACTGGCTGTAGCCTTAAACCAGCGGGGTTTCTGGTCTGACCTTATTCACTGAAGTTAGAAACTGGTCGTGTGTGAATAATTTAGAAATTTTAACTCTGGTTTGTTAATAAAGGAATATTGTTAATAAAGGAATTACTAAACAACCTGGCTTGGAATTTGAAATTATTGGGAACAACAGCCCTCCCACCCTTTGGGCTCTCTGCAGTGAGAAAGAACTGGTCTCCAAACACTGCCAGCAGTTGCTGTGCTGGCCCTGGCCCAGCTCAGCTGTTCTGTCCTGCCTGACTCCCAAACCAGAGAGCCCCTGACATGGAGAGAGCCAGCTCTGGGGACTGCAGCTCTGCCAGGCAGTAGGTCCTTCTCTGAGGAATTGCAGCCAAGGGAGGAACAGGGGAGGAAATCACACCTTTAGACAGCCCAGCACAGAGGAGCAGCTCTCTCCAGAGCTGCAATTCCAGGGCCCCTTCCCCAAAGCACAAAGCCTTCGATAAGGGTGTGACCCACTCACAGCCCTCACTGAGCCTGGAGAAGCCCTCGGAGGGCGAGTCCGACCATTCACCCAACACTCCCAGGGCCACATCCACACCTTTTGGGGACACTGCCAGGGATGGTGGTTCCACCTCTGCCCTGCACAGCCCGTGCCAATGCCCGACTGCCCCTCCAGTGAAGAAATGTTCCCGAATTGCATGAATTAACAAGTCACTTCAGCACCTCTTCACCACATGAAGCCTTTCTCCCAGAAAGGCAGCCAAGGATGGAGCCCCTTCCCTACCTCCTGAGGGAACAGGAGTGAGGATCAGAATAACCCCAGTGTTGCTGAACCCCCCAGGGCTGGGACGGGGAAAGGGGCCTTTCCCTCACCCGGAGCTTTGGAGGTGGGTTTTCCCCGGACTCTTTTTTCTCTTTGAGCTGTTGCAGCTCCTGGGCCAAGATCTCTCCGTCCCCATCAGGTCTGTGAGGTGCCGCCGAGCCTCCTCCGTGCTCACCAGAACCTCCACTTCGTTCGCGGCCCCGGAGCTGCCATGGCAGCCGCCATGGCCGCGGCTCAAACCGGCCAATCAGAGAGCGGTGCGTCACCGACGGGCGGAGTTCAAACCAATCACAGGGCGGGGCCTCACCGAGGGGCGGGGCACAGCCAATCGCCGATCACAGCGGCAGGAAGCGGCGGGGCCGGCAGAGCGCCGGACCAATGGCGGGCCGGTGCGTCCCCCGGGGCGGGCGCGGCCCGGCGCAGCCAATGGGCGCGCGGTGCGCGCCGCCCGAGCCGGCGGCCATGGAGCCCCGCGCTCCCTACGACGACTTCCCGGTGGTTTTCCTGCCGCCCTACGAGAGCCCGCCCGCCTGGGTCCCGCCGCACGAGGTGAGGGGGCTCGGGGGGCCGCGCCGGCCCGGGGGCGGCCGCGGGGTCGCCCGGGCGGGGGCCCGGCCCGGCCCCGGCTGAGCTGGCGCGTCCCCGCAGCGGGTGTTTCACCCCGACTACAACAACGAGCTCACGCGGTTCCTGCCCCGCACCATCGCCCTGCAGAAGCCGCCCGGGGCGCAGGTGAGAGCCCGCGGGGGCCCGGGGGCCGGTCCCGGCGCGGTTCCCGCAGAAGCCGCGATGGTCCCGACCCGGCCCGTGCAGGGCGGGCCCGCGGGATTCCCGGGGCCGGGAAGGGGCAGGGCCGGGGGGCACGGGCAGGGATCGCTCCCGGCGGGATATTGGGGAGGGGGAGCTGCGGAGGGGCGGGAGCGGCGGCCCCGCGGGGGGTTCCGGGAACGGGAGGTGGGAGAGAGGGGCTGGGGCTGCTGGGAACGGGACCAGAGACCGGGATCCGTCTGGGAGAGAGGGGCGGGAGTTGTGAATGGGAAGGGAGCTGGGAATGGGAAGGGAGCTGGGAATGGGAAGGGTCGTGGGAATGGGAAGGATCCTGGGCCAAGGGAAGGGCCTTGGGAATGGGAAGGGTCCTGGGCCAAGGGAAGGGCCTTGGGAATGGGAAGGATCCTGGGCCAAGGGAAGGGCCTTGGGAATGGGAAGGATCCTGGGCCAAGGGAAGGGCCTTGGGAATGGGAAGGATCCTGGGCCAAGGGAAGGGCCCTGGTGTCTGCCTTTTACTGCTGGTTTTTCCCACAGTTGGGCTTCAACATCCGGGGAGGAAAAGCCTCCCAGCTGGGGATCTTCATCTCCAAGGTGTGTCCATCCCTGTCCGTTCCCCCTGGATCCAGCTCAGGCTGGGGTTTCCCACACTCAGCCCCTCCTGTGGCACTGCCCAGTCCCTTCCCAGCCCCGGGAATTGCCGGGGCTGAGCCTTCCCTGCTCCCTGTGCTGCCCGGTGCCCCGTGGGTGCTGAGGGTGCCGTGGGAGGGTCGGTGCCCAGCCCGTGCCATCCCTGTGCCCAGGTGATCCCCGACTCGGACGCGCACAGGGCGGGGCTGCAGGAGGGGGACCAGGTGCTGTCGGTGAACGACGTGGATTTCCAGGACATCGAGCACAGCAAGGTGAGCTGGGGCAGGGGGGGCATCCAGGCCCTTCCAGCCCCTCCCCACGGGGCCAGGGAAGGCCCTGCCCTGCCCAGCCCTGCCCAGCCCTTGTTTTCCAGGCCGTGGAGATCCTGAAGACGGCCCGGGAGATCACGATGCGCGTGCGCTACTTCCCCTACAGTGAGTGGGGCCGGGGCTCCGGGGGCAGCACCTTCCAGCCATCCCTGCCACCTCCCCCCGAGTCTGGCAGGGCACAGATGGGGATCTGGGATCAGGCACCACCTCAGGACAATGAGGGAAACTTGGGGAGCGGGACTGAGCCACCCCGTGCTGGAAGGGGGGAAGGTGGGGAAGGACAAAGGTAACTTAGGGCTCCAGAGGCAGCTGATTATCCTTGGATAACACAGGAATGAGCTCTGGCACCAGTGCCAGTTGTGGATGCCTCTCCTAAGGGATGCTGGAATGGTGAGTGAAGGGAAGGTCTGTGCTCACTCCCACGTTCTGGTCCTGCTCCCATAAAGTTCAGAGATTTAAGGGATAAGGAAAGAGATCAAGTCAAGCCAAATAGGTTTCTTGCTGAAAGGAAAACATGGAGTGGAGGAAGAGAGGGTTGAAAACAAACTGTTGCTCTCAATGCCCTGAAATGAGGGGCTGAGATGCAAAAGTGCAATTGCAAAGGCAGAGGGGCCCGAGCTCTGCCTCTGCCTGGGCAGGTGTGGCCAGAAGGTGTTTTCCTGCCCCTGGGGTGATTCCCCCGTTGCTCAGGCTCTGCCTCTCCCCCAGATTACCAGCGGCAGAAGGAACGGACTGTTCACTAACGGGGAGCTCTGCTGGGGCTCCTGCACAAACCTCTCCTGCTTTCCCACCTCCCGAGATGGCCCAGCCCGCTCAGCTCCCACTGGAGGCACAGCTGTGCCCTGCCTGGAGAGATGCCCAGAGTCTCACCCAGCTGGAGGCTGGAGGGGATTGAGCCTGTGCTCCTGAGTGGGGCTGGAACAGCCGCTGGCAGCTGGGGCCTGGAGGGAGCTGCTCCAGCACCATCCCTGCTCCTCCTTCAGCAGGACTTGAGTGAGTGCTGTGCTGGCTCTGGATCCCTTGGGCCTGGAAGCTTTGTTGGGATGGAAAAGTACGAGGGGCTGAGGCTCCTGAGCAAAGCAGGGGCCTTGTCCTCCAAGAAATCCCCCGTTCCCTTCCCTCATGCCATGGAATTCTTTCCTTCTCCTCTGTGCCACCTCTGCTCTGCTCTGCTGGGTTTGCTGGGGGATCCAGGAGTAAAACCCACCCAAACTCAGTGCCCAGCTCTGGCTGCACTGGGCTCTTTGTGCCTCTGTGCTGGGAATGACCCCGAGATACAGGGCTGGGGTGTTTGGAAACCTCCACTGCATTGTTTGGCTCCTGTGGGAAGAAAGGGACAATGGGAATGACAGTCAGGGACACCAGGACATGGATGACAAACAGGGGAAAAGAGTGATCCTCAGAGGATTCTCTGGCATTCCTAAAGGGGCTGTGATTGGAGATAAAAACCAGATCAAAAACACCTGCCACAGATCACACGGGGGGTGTGCACAGGACACAAGGGCCAGGTTACAAACACACTCCACTTTATTTCCACATTCCCACCCCCCTGGCCAGAGCCTTCCCACCCCCTGTGAGTCCCGGGAAGGGCCCCGTTCCCATCACAAGGTGTCATAGTCATCCTCATCCTCATGCTTCCTCTTGAGGGGGTTGGGGTCGCTGGCTGTGCCCTGGGACACCATGTTGGTGGTGATGAGGATGTTCTTGGGGCCGATGAGGGACGGGTTGATCAGCACGTTCTGCACGGTCGGGGTGGTCGGGGTGGCTGTGGCACCAAAGGGAATCATTTAGTGAGAGCTTGGAAAAAGGACAGGGGATCTTCCCCACTGAAACAACTTCCAAGGCAATAAAGCAGTGTGCTGGCTGAACATCCCAGGCTGAAAACCCTGGAATGATCCCCAGATGGAAGTGGAGAAGGTGGGGAAATGCTTGTGGGGTGAGGACAGAGGAGTGAGAGCCCAGAGGTGGAGCCAAGGCATGAGAGACACTGATGCTCTGTGGCTGTCACTGCTGTGCTGGGAATGGACACTGGAAGATACTGGAATGAGGGAGAGGGGAGGTTACTTCCCACTTGAGGTTGCCCAGAGAAGCTGTGGCTGCCCCATCCCTGGAAGTGTCCAGGCCAGGTTGGAACAACCTGGGACAGTGAAGGTGTCCCTGCCTGTGGCAGGAGTGGGACTGGAGGAGCTTTTCCCCTACCAACCCAAAGCACCCTGTGATTATCCCTGTGCTCCAACCCCAAGGCAATCCCAGCCATACCTGACTTCCCAGCAGGTTGGGAGGATGGGATCTGGACAGTGAAGCGCTGCCCGGCCAGAGACACCGGGGCCCCCACCTTGGCTGACACAGACACAGTCTGGGCTGAGGGGGTACCTGGAACCCAACACAACCCTCAAAATCCATCAAAATACATCAACAGACACTCCTAAATCTGCTTCCAAAATGGAACCTGTGGGAATGCACGGGGACACACCGACACAGATTCCCAGACAGAACCACACACTGACTCCTTTTCCCACATTTCCTCCAGCCCCACACAATTCCAGGCTATAAATGCACACTTATTTCTAAGGGCATGTGCTCAGCCCTCAGTTCTGTGAACATTTTAGAAATGGCTCTTTTTCAGTTCTGTTTAGTTCAGTGTCACGCTGACACTGAGGAAAAACCCTCACACTTCAGTAAATTTCTTGAATAGTCTCTTAAATAAAGAATTTATCGCAAATACAGTGAATTTGTAATGTCAATATGTATCAAAGATCACTGTAATAATAGAGATTAAATTAATTTAGCTGTCAGTATAAGGTCAGGTGGCCACTGACAGTCCCTCAGTGGCTGAAAAGTCCTTTAAATTATTCCTCTCTATTTTCCCTCCATAAAATGAAGGTGGGAAACCCCCCCTGGAGCTGTTTCCTACCCAGAGTGGGAGTGCTAGGTCTGCTGCTCACGGCACCCACGCTCAGGCGAGGGACTGTGATCCTGCCTGCTGTGGAGGAGACCTGGGGGAGAGAACCAGGGAATCAGGGAATAAATAAGAAGTCCCCACACTGAGACAGTGTTTGCCAGCAAAGTCAATCTTTTCCCTCTAAAGCAGAAACTGAGATGGAAGTACAAAATAGCCCTTAATATCTACACCAAAGCCTGGCTTGTGCCTTTGACAACCTGATGTTCAACCTGACAGTTCCTCCTGGACATCAGGAGGAATTTCCTCATGGGAAGGGTGGTCAGGCATTGGAAGGGGCTGCCCAGGGAGGTGGTGGAGTCCTCATCCCTGGAGGTGTCCACGGAAGGACTGGACATGGCACTCAGTGCTTGGGCTGGGGGACAAGGTGGGGATCAGGTTGGACTGAATCTTGAAAGTCTTTTCCAACCTCAGTGATTCTGTGATACTGCTTAAATGCTACAAAACTCCCAGATGGATTTTATAACACATTTTGCATTTCAGATTAACTGGCCATAATAATATTTGCAAATGCAGGCTGGAGACAGAGGGCACTGATGGTCCTAAATATTCACTGATGGTTCCAAACACCCAGTGACGAGCCCAGCTCAACACCTGCCCACAAGTGCCTTCCAGAGGTGTGGAAAACCATCATCCCAACCCCACTGCTGCCACCCCAGGAGGAGCATCCCCAGATTCCCCATTCCCAGAGCCCTCACCTTCTTCTGCAGGGCCTTGAGCCTGTAGTTGGGGGCGGTCAGGCAGTACCTGTCGGGGGGCAGCCGCGGCCCCGAGTAGGGTTTGATGAGGGGCAGCGGCGTCTGGTTCTTCTGGCGGGCGATGTCCAGCAGGAACTGCGGACACACGACAGGCCCACGTCCCTCCTGCCCCCTCCCCTGCCCCGGGGGCAGCAGGGGGGTGTGGGGGCAGCAGGGGGGCTGTGGGGGCAGCAGGGGGGCTGCACTCACGTCTCTGGGCGGGGGGGAGGTGAAGGACTGGTCTGTCCTGCACTGGATCGCCAGGCGCACGTCGTCCGCGTCCACGCTCGACTTCTTGGCGTGGCTCGAGTAGATCTTGGCATCCTCCAGGATGGTGGTCACGTACCCTGGGGGGACAGCTCAGTTCAACCCTTCCCTCCCAGCCCTGGCACTGGAAATACGACTCCCTGCAGGGTTATTGCTCACACTGCCAGGGCAGGGTTCGATGGAATATTGGGAAGGAATTGTTGGCTGGGAGGGTGGGGAGGCCCTGGCACAGGTTGCCCAGAGAAACTGTGGCTGTCCCATCCCTGGAAGTGTCCAAGGCCAGGTTGGACAGGGCTTGGAGCAACCTGGGCTAGTGGAAGGTGTCCCTGCCCATGGCAGGGGGTGGGACTGGGTGAGTTTTAAAGTCCCTTCTGACCCAAACCACCCTGGGCTTTGTGACTCTGTGATTACTTTCAAAGAATCCCAGAATTAAGGTTGGAAAAGATCTCCGCGACTACCGAGCCCAGTGGTTAAAGTCTGAGACGGGAAACCCCCAAGGGAACACGGATACAGCACTGCCCTGCTCCCCCCGGCCTTTCCCCGCGCCCCTCCGGCCCCGGCCCCGCTCACTGTAGGCGAACTCCAGCATCTGGTTGATGACGCGCGGCTCGTACTCAGTGATGCCCATGTCCTTGAGGATCTGCGCCATCACCTGCGGGGGGAGAGGGGCACGGCTCAGCCACGGCGAGCCCCCGCCGCCCCGCTGCCCCCGTGCCCTGTGCCCGCGGTACCTGCGCGTCTTTGGGGGCGCTCTTGGGGGACGCCATCTTGGCCGCCTCCATCGCTCCCGCTCACGTGACCGCCGAGCGGCGCGCGGGCTACGGCGGCCGCGAGGGCTCGGTTGCCATGGAGACGCGGCCAGGCGCGGTTGCCATGGAGACGCTGCATGGCGGGGCAGAAATTCCTTGTAATATAAATATTCCCGGAGACCAAGTGATGCACAGAACAAATGTGGTGGATCCAGGGATCCGTCCCCTGTCCCCCCTGCTTCAGACAGCTCAGTGCCCCCGTCTGCCCCGTGGTCCAGCAGGAGGGGATGTTTTGTTACTTCATTACTGGCTTTGAAGCCACTTTTTAAATTGCTGGCATTCCCAGGGTTAGATAAAAACAGAAAGTGTGTTCCTGTGTATTTCCACTGCTCTGAAAATAACTGGTTCCACTTAGGAAGCAAATTTAAAAGCTTTTTCCATCTTGTTTTCGTGGCAGCTGGATGGATTTGAAAGTCATGTAGAGCATGTTCCATGCAGGTCTCATCAAAGTTTCTCCCTTTCAGAGACAAAACAGAACCAAAGATAAAGTTTTCTTGAGATTTTGCCAGACAGGAATCAGCAGCATTCCAGGAGCAGTTGCAACATGTTGTTACTGCCCGTGATGGTCCAACTGAAGCAAGGGCTGGAGGACGAGGATGTCCCAGGGACTCCCACTGAGCTTCCCCGGAGAGAGGGGGAAAGGAACAGCAGCTCCCTCTGCTCCACCTTGTACCTCACTGCAGAACGTCCCAGCAGCTGCTACATTCCATCTGCTCCCCATCCCCACCCAGGAAGGTGTCCAGCACCTGGATCAGCCAACTTGGATGGAAACACATCCCAAAACTTTGGGGGTGCTGAGGGTGCTGGGCTCACCTTGCTGGGGGGCAGGAGCAGCCCCGTGGCTCCGGCAGTGCCTGCAGGGGCTGGAAAACCCTCACCCAGCATGAGGGGCAGGCACAGAATTCCTGAGCCGAGGAGCTTGGCCGGAGCACCGCAGCTCCGAGGCCAAGTCATTTGACTTCCATGAGTCAGAGCGTTACACAAAAACATCCTGCGAGGAGGAGGGAGGAGGAATTCCAGACACTGACCTTAGACAACAAACAAAATCCACTTTTTTTCCCTTGTTCTAGGGAAGTGTGGGGGGGAGCTCTTCCACCGCGGGCTCTGGGTCAGGCTGGAACTTGGCACATGGGGCTATGGCTCTCACTCCATTTGTTCCTGAGGCAGGAGAGAAAATGTTTGAACTGCAGTGGGACTCTGGATTTACCCCCAAAACCCCCTGGATCCATGCTGGGAAACCTTCCCCACCCACCCACAGGTGATATTCCAGGCTGGGAAGCACGACCAGGAGCTACCTGCAGGATTTCTGTGGGAAACCAGCAGTGAGGAGGAGACACGGAGAGCCACCTTCCACAGAGGAGACAGCTGTCCTCAAGGCCACAAACACCTTCCTGGTCATGGAAGCTTCTCCCCATGGCCAGTCCTCAGGGAATCATGGAATCATCCTAGATCATGGAGTCCACCCTGTGCCCGATCCCCACCTTGTCCCCCAGCCCAGAGCACTGAGTGCCACGGCCAGTCCTTCCTTGGACACCTCCAGGGGTGGGGACTCCAAACCTCCCTGGGCAGCCCCTTCCAATGCCCCACCACCCTTTCCATGAAGAAATTCCTCCTGATGTCCAACCTGACCCTCCCCTGGCACAGCTTGAGCCCGTTTCCCCTTGTCCTGTCCCTTGTTCCCTGGGAGCAGAGCCCGACCCCCCCCCAGCTCCCCCCTCCTGTCAGGGGGTTGCAGAGCCAGAAGGTCCCCCCTGAGCCTCCTTTTCTCCAGGATAAATGTCTGAATTCTGCATTCTGTGGGCACTGAGCATTGCTCCAATGGAAGAGCATCCACCCTTCCTCTTCACTCAGCACTGGAAAACAGGAAATGGGGTCACGGCGTGTCCCGGCCGGGCTCTGACTCCTCCATCTGCCACCACCGAGCCGGGGTCGTTCATCCCAGGCAGTGTCTGCCAGCTGGGAATTATCTGCTCCGAGAAATCCGGAGCACAGCCCGGGCGAGCACATGCCAGGCACGGCTCTGCTCAGGGTGCAGGATTTAAATCCCACAAATTTTAAATCCCTGCAAGTGTCCAAGGCCAGGCTGGACGGAGCTCTGAGCAACCTGGTCTAGTGGAAGGTGTCCCTGCCCATGGCAGGGGGTGGAGTGGAACGAGATGGGCTTTAATGTCTGTTCCGACCCAAACCAGCCTGTGATCCCACAAAATTTAACTGGGAATTTCTTCACAGACAGGAGGTGTTTAAGGTGCAGCCAAGCAGAACCATGGCACACACACAGCTTTTCTTGTTAGAGGTGTCCAAGTGCTTAAATCCCCTGAATAAACACCCACAGCCAGTGCTTCTGCCTGTTGGAAAGGGCAGCAGGAATCTCCACAACGTCAGAACTGGGATGTGCCGGACAATGCAGTGACTGTGCTCAGCACTGACCTTTCCAGCCCAAATCCCACACTATTTGGCTCCAAAAAACTCTGGCTTTTGAACAGCCCTTCAGAGTAGAGAAGCTGCAAGAGCTGAGCTCTGAGGAGGACGGGGGAGGTTTGTGTTGTACCTGATACCCCTCTCACTTCTGCCAGCACCCCATTCCCGGGTTATGGAGGAATTCCTGAGGACTGTGGATGGGCACATCCTTCTGCAGGGTGTCCCTGTCCCTCTGGCTGTAATTCCAGCCTCCCAGAGCCTTCCCGTGGGTTTTCCCTCACACTGGCCCCCATCACCCTCATCTCCCCCCTCCTGGCACTTCCCAGCTCGTCATCCCTGATCTTTTCTCAAGTGGAAAGTAAATCCAGGCTGAGTGTCCGACTGTCTCATTTGCAAGACTGGTGGTCAAATAAAGCCCCTCCCATCCTCTCCTCCTCACCAAGCTCCTGGGAAGAGATTTGTCTGGTTTTCAGGACCTTTCTGTTACTCACAAACCTGGGAAACAGAACTCACGTCCCTTCCTTCCCACAGGAGCCAAGAGGTGCAGTGCAGGTTAAGCCAGGCCAGCTCTCTGCTCTCTCAAGTGGATGGAAAGCAACCTGTAAAGTGCTGGAAAAGAAAATGGCAAGGAATTCCTCATTTTGTGGGATTATGAACACATTCCCTTCTTCCTAAAGGTCAAGTCACTGCTCAACCCTCAGGTCTGTCCCAGCACCATCCTGACCTCACACAAAGCGGTTCAGGAATTCCCACGGCTTGGTCCCTGCTGACACAGCTCCGGGGCAGGAAAAGGACAGTGATATTCCAAGGGTCCCACAAATAAAAAAGTCTTTACAGAAGAAAAGTTATTTCAGCTCCTAATGCCACTGAGCACGTTCCTTCACCTCAAATTCCACATGACACAAACGAGACTAAAACCCACAAAACCACAGGAGCCCGGAGTCAAATTTGAATACATTTGTATTATTTATTGGCTGTATTAAATATATTATCTATTTGATAGTTACAATTTAGTAATACAATGCATGGCAGCTTTAACATACGTTTGAGATACCTCAAAAATGACAATACAAGAAAACTGAAGATACCTAAAAACATTAATGCCACGAGGGTACATCCTTCTGGAATGGACAACAGCTGATGGAAAAATCCGTATTGCAGTATAAATCCCAGTTGTTTCTGGAATTATGAGTATTCTGTGGCAATTACAAAAGGATTTTGTTTTTAGCAGTCATGACTTGTTAGTATTTACTCTGCATTCCTAATTTCTCTTTTAAATGATCAGGAGTATTATTGCCAAATAACCCTCTACGAGTTGGTTCAAGGAGTTAAGAAATAACCCTTTGGCAACAGAGATTTCTGAAGGCAGTTTATCTGGGTTTTTTTATCAGTTTATCTGCTAAAGGGAGGCTATGAGGAAAATAAAGACAGATTGTAAACTCTTCTGCAAACTAAAGACTAATATCTGTATAAAACTCTTTCCGACACTGGAGGGAGAGATTTCTATGATATAATAAATGATTAACTTAAAGTTCTGCTACAAGTAGAACAATACATTCAAACATACTTTTTTTTTTCCAGGACTTTTAATCAAAATAAATAGAGTACAAAATGAAGAGTACGTTTTGAAAAGATTAATTTCAGATTGCACCATAAATCTACTGTGAAGAGGATTAAGCATTACTAGGCCATAATTTAGGTTTTCCACATCTGAAATACAACACAATGCCTCAAACTAACACGACATTATTCCTCAACTGCCGTAGGAGAAAGACCCTCAAGGTGGTGAATTCATGACTGGAAACACGGCGCCTGTAGCTCTGTCACATCCACCCTCCCACGTACAAGTGCATCGCTCTGATGTACAAAGTGGAGCCACAGACTTTGCAAAACACCCTAAATCCACCTTTCTGTGGCATATTCCAAATGCTGTTGGCAAGACCCATCCTGAAACATCGGGAATTTGTGAGTTCCAGCTTTCAAGACCTTTACCCAACGGAGCCAGGAGCTGTGAGGCTCCTCCTCAGGGATTCACAAGCAGATGGAACACAACAGTCAAATGTAGTGCACAGTGTCCACAAAAATATCCCCCAGCCAACCAGGACGAGTTTCAGACAAGTTCATAGCAGGCTGAACATTCCCAACAGGAAAACCATGGAATGTGAAGCTGCTACCACTGGGATAGCAAGTCGTTTAAAACATTGTATAAATGTTATCTAAAAAGAGCTCTCTCACGTACAATTTGATCGTTGGGGTTAAGTTAGAAGGGCACCCAAAAGCAGGCTGAACTTTTTATTTTTCAGGTTAATAATAGTACAAAAATTGCTCAGTTTGAGCCAAATAGTGTAACATTTATCATAAATGCACTCTTTCTCCTTGAAGACAACAACACCTGTGCTGTTCTGAGCACGCTGCACAGGGAATTACTTTTCTCTCAGGCACTGAGAGTGAAATGTGGATTGGGCCAAAGCTGCTCAGGACAGCAGGAACGTTCCGGTCACAACAGGGGCCTTTCCTCCGTGTCCTGCTCACGCTCCAGCTGGCATTGATTTGGATTAAAACTCTAAAAAACT